AGCTCAAGATGTAAGCATTACAACTGTGTCACACTGGCTCCAACCTCTTCATCGCTTACTATCTTCATTCACAGAATGAAGTAAAATCATCGAGGTCATAGGTTTATCCAGGAAAGAGAATGAAGTGAGATATGTGGAGTACTGAGAATAATATCTGACCTAGAAAATACTCAGTTAGCTAATTCCTCCTCACTCCATGAAGAACTACTCAGCTATGTCTGTCACATGACTCGGAGGAATATGACAACTGCTCTCCATTATCTGGTGCATACAAGCATCTCTCTGCACTGTACTGGTAGCATTTAAAAGTTCTCAATTAGGTGAGAAAAACCAACATATGAGGCAGATAGTAGCCATACTTTATTAAACGTTAAGTTTTTATACCGGATTCTAAGGTACCGGTTGAATCAGGTATGATATTATTAATCTAAATATCTTCATTGTTAAATCTTTTCACAAAAATTACTTTATCATATAAAAAGTTCATTTCCATTAAGTTAAAAATGTGTCATTTATGAAAATTTAGACTGCTGTGTCCACTGTTGCAGGGTGGAAATGACATATAAAATATTAAGCATAGAGGCCTTGATTTTCCCATCAATCATCATTATCAACACAGGTCACAGTTTAAGATGTCATGCAAGGGTCTTCATTCTGGAATACTAAATAGTATTTTTATCTAATGTGATGAAAAAGTAAAAAGCAAATACTGTGAGACTCATTTTGTTAAAATATTACACTAAATCTATTGAATTTATTTCCTAGGAAGAAAAAAACTTAAAGGAACAGAAAAAGAATGATCCATGTTTTCTAAAGAGACTGCTGAGAGAAATAAAAACTTGTTGGAATAAAATTTTGAAGGACAGTATATAAACAGAACATGTAGTAGCAATATCCAAGAGTCTACTGGTTTAATACTTGGAGAGGTTGAAACCCTCTCAGAAACTTCTGGATGCCTTCTGGTCAAATAAACTGAGCAGCTGGGCCATGAGAAGTGCAGCTACCTGCTGCAGTCAGCATATACATATGGAAATATATTCACTGTACTGATCTGTAAAGCAACCACGTCATCTGTAATGCTTTTAAAGCCTTTCTAAATATTTCTAACAGTATCAAGTCTACAAAATTCAAGGCTACAAAGATTCAGACTCACCACTGTTTTGTTAGCAAAATGACGGTGTGGTCAACCATGCATCAGTGATCCACTGAAGGAGTCAAACAGTCTGTTATAGAGTGAAGATACTGGAGGGCTCACCGTGATGGATAATGCTCTTGAAAACAGGAGTCGTATCTTAAAGCAGCAGCAGCAAAAAGAAGCTTAAAGCACTTAAGGCATCAACAAACGTCATTAAATATGAATGTATAACACATAACTTCAGTAAAGAGCACAGCAAATATTTTTAAATAAAAGTATTTTTAAAGATAGAAATGCACTTAGTCCAAAGATACTGAATCTTAGTATTCAATCACTTTTGTCATTTAATGTATAATAAAGCTTGTATAACTGAATTTTCAATTTGGGAAGTATATTTTTAGAGTAATAATATATGCTAGACTTTTAATTAATGTATATACTTAATTTTGACTATACACACACACACACACACACACATATATATGTATATAACCTGTGTCCTGTGTTAACACTGTTAGGTTCACTTAATCTCAAGAATGTGCACTGCTTGATTGCCATTGGATCCCATTTTATAGCACATGTATCCTTTAACATACTCACGCCAAGATTCATCATGAGACTAGGACCCTACAACTTTGGTAAGAGAAGAAACACTAATTTCTTGTTTTACAGTAGGATCTTGTTTGTACCTAAGGCTGGCTGTGATGCTCCTATCTCAGTCTCCCAAGTGCTGGGATTGTAGACATGAGCCAATATGCTCAGTTAGAAACATTTTTTTAAGTTAAATTCATGTCTTTTACAAGATACCTACATATATCCTCTGTACATACTTGTTAAAATCCTTCTTTGAAAGGCCTGCTGTCTTCATTAAGTTGTAATGGAAAGAAACACTATCCTGAAGAGGTCAAATTTCTGGAAGAGATGAAGGTTTGCTTGTACTGAACTCCCATTCCCCTTGCTCTTTCTAGGTACTTGAGCATCTAGCTATCTATATGCTGGATGCATTTGATCTACACCTGCTCCTCTGGCACCTCCCATGTGTGGTGGCCATGCCTTCTTGCTCCTCCTTTTCCCCAACCCATATAATGTTCTACTCAATGGTACAGATAGCTGCGACTAACACAGTTTTGAGAGAAGGACCAATTGTTCAAAGTTCATTTCATACTCACTATTTGCCCAGAAAACAGTTCTCTCAACTTGTTTGGAACGCGTGATACTTTAAAAACTCAATTTCTTTCATGGACTTTCCATAACCTACTTAGATCTCCTAAATCTACTAAGTGGCAGCCCTTTATCTTGAAGAACTGGTAAAATGGGTAAGCCATTAGCTGGAGAACCGAATGCATTTGCATATGTAAAGATATAAACTCCATACCTGCAAGGCTGTCTGGATGGCTCCCCAGCAGTTTTGAATAATATTCTGATTGTGGCAAAATAAAGGATAATATTTTAAATGCTTATTAAAAGTTTCTAAAATTTCTTCATTGGTTCTTATCATGTGCTCATGAAAGACTAACTGTAGGTAAAATTCTTGTTCTAACAGTTCCTTCAACATGTGTGCTAAATGCATCACACGTTATCCATACTTTTATGTTCTGTTGGCCTCATTGTTCCCTAGCAACTGGCGAAGCGGACAAAGGCAAAGGAGTCTTCATCCTGATAATTTCCTTATAGGTGAACATGTATAAACCTGAACCTGAAGTTTTTCCTCCAGGCCATGCTCCCACGTACAGGTGGTTTCAAGATATTCCATCAGTCCTATCCCAAAGAATCCCCGGAAACACACTCCTCTCTTTAAATTCAGTGGTATTTATCGTGCTTTATGCTAATGGAACCTTTGTATATTTATTAAGTTCTTACTTAGAAGTATCCTCTGAATTCTATTCAGACTCTGTTTAAATTTTAAGCACCTTTATCTGTAGGAGGTAGTTCTTATGCTCTGACTGGAAATCTGCATGTGAACGCTGAAGGTTCTATACTCCAATTGGTTCCCGATCTATCAATAAAAATGTTAGTGGCCAATGGCTGGAATAAAGAGGCAGGACTTCCAGGTTCCCACAGGCAGGCTTATAGACACCAGAGGAGGAAAGAAATCCATCATGCTTCGGAGGAAGAGAGAGCCATCAGCCATGTGAGATCTTGGGTGTAGTGGCCATTGGCCACTTCCTGGACTGGGTCTGAGGTAGTAGGCAAGAGATTAGAAATGCAACTGATCTGAGAGCAGATTTAGGATTCTGAGCAAGGAGAAGGTAACTGGGTAACAAATTTAGAGGAACTGAACCAGGACTAAAGTTAACTGCGTAATTAAGCTGAGGGCTGATTTAGAAACGTTCCAAGAGAACCAGGGCAGGGGCTGGTGGCACATCCCACTGGAGCTTAAAGTGGGGTGTAGAAACTACATGCCACATTTATCCTTAACTGCTACTGCTTCTGATAATCCTAGGTACTGTTCATATTTGTTCCTTTAATTGTTCATAGGACTTTATTCCAAGGAATATACATTGTGAGTTGACAAAAATCTATCTTAGTACTTTACTTTAAATATGATGATTACATGAATAACTTCTTTGCTTAAAATGACCTCAGAACGAATGTATTATTTATTGTGTCTGCTATGCACCACATGGAAAGCAGTATGGTTACTGGATAAACAGATGAACTGCATTGTGCCAACATCTTATTAAAATCTAATCAAGTAATTCAGATAAAACAGTCTAGAATGAAATTTAAGCTACTAAAGATAGAAATTATATGACTCTATAACAAACTAAAATAACAGATTGGATCCAGTTTTGTTCTTAAAAATCCCCATGGTATTTTGAGTTACAAATATTACTTTCTGTGAGCAATTTTAGCCCGAATTTTCACCCAAAAATAGAATATATAAAACTATTGTAGCACAAGACAATGAAAAAGATAGGTGTGTTGCTACACCGAGAACTGCCATCCAATAGCTAGATAGAAAAGAAGTGGGGAGCACTGATGTACATTTGCAGGAGGCTAAGGCAGGAGGATTCTTTGAGCCCTGGATTTGAAGCTATCCTGGGCTTTATAGTAGAGTCAGCTATTTCTAGTTTATGCTATTATTGTTTAATAAGCATACTGACTGTCCTGCTGTGATTCACGGTGAATCACTCCAAAGTGATCTCGCACTAAGTGAATGTGAAATAAAGTTGGGAAGTTACCTTGGGCACTGGTAAGCTGAAGGAGTGGAGAAGCATAAATATTAGTAAAGAACAGACATCTGAAGTATGAGAATCACTGCATTTCTAATCCACATGGAATGTGTTGCAAACTCCTTTTCTCAGAATAACATGGGTTGGAGGGATCTCTGTTCTTGTCCTTTAAAATCATCATGAATTAATGAGGAAGTAAGAAATGAATGCTCAGTTATGAATGTTTGCTACAACGTTAAAAAAGTGTAATCAGTTAATAAACTTTGCCTCCACAGTAAGACAGAACATCTGAGTCAAGAGCAAATCATGTTTTAAGTTCTTAGAGGATGTGAGATTATGGACTGAGGGAAATGTTGTATGGTGAGGAAATGAAACCACTTCATACCTTAAGTTTTACAGCAGAATACTTGTTTAAAAACTGAGCACTATGAACACAGTGAAACACTCAGCCACTTTAAGGAGTAAGACTACTTTTTACTTTTATCAACTAGATACCAAAGAATATACACTTAGAATATATGCCTAGTTAAATCATGTCATTCTCTTATCCTCATCTTAATCTGAATAAATCCAAGTCCTAGTATGCCTTTTCCTTTTATTTGGTCTTTAGACAGTCATAAATCCCAGGCTTGCCTCACTCCTTATACAGTCAAGGACGACTTGCTTTCCTGATGCTACTGAGTTTAGCTCCCAAGTGCTAGGATTACAGAAATGTGCTACTGAAGCTCATTTCAGGCTGTGCTGGGACTGGAGCCAAAGCTTTATGTGTGCTAGGCAAGCACTCTATCAACTGTGTTCACCTGGTTCTGAAAGTACCGGCTTCCCACATGCTTCAAGCATATTGAATATTCTTTGATAGACTCAGCTAGAAGTTAAGGTAAATAGACAGCTGCATAAAAAAACTAGCTCACCTTGTTTGAAGGCTTGTGGTTCTTAGTGTGCTGTCCAACGCATAACTCAACGCCTCCAATACCTGGGTCTTTCTCCACAGCAGTATCACAGTATCCTATAAACTATATTTATTCATCTTGATTTTCAATCTTCCTCTATTACAATTTCTAAAGTTCAAACTTGCCACGATCTTTACTTCAATATTCTATTCACTGTACCTAACATATTTAAATATTGTTAGCTGATTCCATAATGCACTAAGAACTTCTTAGCATCATATATATAGTCAAGATACAGTGGTTTTTTTTAAAATTCAGTTTATTATTATCCAACACCATTATTAAGATGGGGAAGTTGCTTCAATTCAGCATATTATAAAGTTCACACTATAGTGTGATTAGTAGTAATAATTAATTATTAATATTTAAATATTAATTAAATATTTAAATATTAATAATATTAATTAATATTTAATCAATCAAATAATGATTAATATATATTAATCATAATATAGTGTGATTATAGTAGTAATCACACTATAGACTTAAGTACTATTTCAAGAATCTCACACTTTGCAGAAGGGAATCATAAGCTAATACCATATTGGTTGAAGATTTTATATATGAAAGAGCAGATGCCAAGGTAGTTAAACATTATCATTTATGAAAGGCTATTAAATAATTAAGAGAATCTCTGGGAGAGCCATGCAGACATATTTGGATGTTGTTCAGTCAAAGACAAAGCAAATTCAGATGTCACAGTTCTTCAGTCTGAGTAGGCCAGCCAGCTTAGGTGTTCCCACAAACAGCAGCCCTTGCCACAAGGGTGCCTCTTGTTTGCAATGGCTGTTCCTAAAACTGAGTGTCTCTTTCCCTAGTGTGTAGGGAACGAAAGCTACTGCTTAATATACATTGTTTAACAATCCTGGTTTGAGGTTTTATTGTGCTTGTCAGCTAACTGAATTGAGAAACTTAGACAGTTGGTAAAGTATAGTGTAAGACGATCTGTAGGTGTGATTCCAGTGACTGCTAACATGCTGATCAGTGTGCTTGGTGGAACAGACCCACCATTATGACAGGCAGCACCACTCAGTGGTCTCTGGTCCTATTTGAAGACCTAGGTAAAACAAAAAAAGAGGATAAAGTGTGTATGCATGAACATGCTAGGTTCTTAAGGAGAGGTTCTTTCTTAAAAACTAAAAATTAATTTAGTCTTACAATTTTTATGGGTCCTATGATATCAGATTCCAGACTCTCTAGTTTTTGAATGTGAACTTTCAAGAGTAACATCCAAGGGCTGTT